GATGTTGACATACTCTTACTAATAAAAGAATGTCTTCTCGTGGTCTGGCAATGATTTTTACATTGTGTTTGAACCATAGTTGAACTCTAAATGTAAGATGTAGATTTGTAACAATATAAATAATTTCATTACATCAAACTATAAAACAATGCAGGGGGACACATTTTGGCAATTGTAATAACTTAGTGTAATTCTAAGAACTAAGATGTCCGCTATCTAATAAACATTCATGTGTTTTCTCTGATGCTGCCCTCAGAACAGACTTCTTGCTACCTTCCCCTCTTTGCAAACCACTAGTGAGTAACGACTAGAACCGTAATTCCTTAAGTAACCTGGAAGAATTGTGGCCCATTGCCACCCGAGCTACTGAGTTGCTTGAAAGACGTATTTTTGAAGTTTTTGTTTTGCCGCCCCTTTGAGGATTGGAAGCCTACACCCTTTTGACGTTGAATACGTTTTGTGACCACAGCCAACTCCCAGCACTGCTGTACTCAGTCTTTTCACAGTAGAATTTTTGACATGCCTTAGTAGGGAAAGCAGAGACCTATTTATTCACATGGATGAAGGATGCATTCCACTAAGCTGTCACAGCTTCACGGGTTTGGTATTACTCCTTCTGACTGTGTACATGTTTTTAGTTACATCTGGGCATTATTCCATGAAAATTCCAACTGTTTGCTGTGAAAAAGGAGCTGGTGAAGTAAGAAGGTCTGGCAACAGGGCTTATTAAAAGCAAACATTTGAGCTTGACGTGCTTTTTCTACGTAGAACTGTGAAAAGTCTTCCACAAAAATACCTCATGGTAATAGGAGGTAAATCTATTCAGAATCAGAGAGAAAGGCAGCACAGGGCTTGAAGTGCATCCAGACACAGGGGGCACTGTTGCACTCAGTTGCATATGGTGGGCCAATACTAAGCAAAGGCACTGATCTGTCTTAGTCAATGGTTTCCACTCTTGCATTTTTAAGTGGACACACAACAGAGCAGTGTTTTCAACATCACATGACGTTTCCATGATTATCACTTAATCACATGCACACTGTTAAATACATTATCTGTTGTGGTATAAAGGGTGTGTCATAATGGGGTTAGGTTAGTCAGCTTAAAAGATAAATATGGTGAGTAACAAGGTGGGGATAAACAAAAAGAACATGTATTTGTTACACAAAAGGATAATTACTACTTTCTGAATTGTTTGCTTTCAATAACAGTGACGGACTAAGCACATCATTTATCTTGCAGTTGACTCAACATAACTACCAAACACGACATGCAATAGAAGGAAGGTTCATGTTACCCAAAACTTATTCCAATATAAAATAGTAAACAGTAATATACAGAGCCATGGTCAGTGGAATTCCAGAGTGCTTTTCAAAAGATTGCTTAAACAACATCTCTGTATCATAAATTACAATATCTGTGTCTGTGGGTATGTGCAATCATGGATTGAATTATTTTATGTTTGGCTTAATGATGGTTATAAGCCAAACCCCAGGAAGAATAGCCAATGCTTGTGTTAGTGCTAATGGGGATCCTAATAAATAACAAAGAACAAAAGAACAATTCCATTTGCTTGTGAAACACTGGGTATTATACCCTTGCTGCTAAATACCAACCAACTATGTGCAATATATATATATATATATATATACCGTTAAAAATGTGCTATATACCTGGCTGCTAAATCCTAAGAACTGTTAAAGGATGTGTATTTTGAAAATGATGTAACTTTTTTTTATTTATTTTTTTTATTGATATATTTTTTCTTATATCATAACTTAGTACTTTTTAATGCATGTAACATATGTAAAATTAAGCTGCCTGTGGCTCTTTTTTCTGCTGTAACTACGTAAATGTCCCCTCTGTGGGACTAATAAAAGGTATTCTGATTATGATTATGAACAGATCTATGATCTCTTCGATTCCCAAAGGGGGCTAGAGAGTGAGCTAAATATCTTCAGTTTATGCCCACATTAAAGACATACCTTGTGAGGAACGTATTAACTAAACCTTTTCTTATTTTAAGAATTTGAAAAGCCAAACACACCTGGATCTAGATAACTCATGAGGCAACATCCCAGTCTCACATGTGTGTCTTGTATTTGTCCAACAGAGGGCGCAGTATCACCATTATCGTGAAGGTTTGAGTTTAAACGATAATCTTTCCTCATAAATACATATTTTAAAGTTGAAACTAGTAAGGTATTAAGCAAGTCCACAAATTACGGTATGTTAGCGTTAACGTGACAATTAGCATTGCAACGTAAGCTAACTTAATTCAATTTAAGATGACTCCTCGTGTAGGAGGATCAGCTAGCACAACTGCAGGAGATGCAAAATGGGGAGAGAAAGGTGGAACTACCTCTTGTTAAAATGTAAGTACCGTATATGTACAAAAAACACAGTTATTAAATAATGGCTTACCGACCGTGTGTTATGTCAGCTCCTCTGTGTCAAACTTTCCTTCAGTGAGAGTCCTCCCGCCTCTGCTCGTACGCGTGCGCGGTGCTGTCACTGTGTCCGCCGCGGAGAGTCAGACAGCTGCAGACCGCCGCGGCATGTGGACCAGGGCGAGGGGGTGCGTCCGTTTGACCAGCATCGATTTCAGCGAAGTGAGTCGACAGTTGGGGACAAGTATTCAGCACAGTGGCACTGGCAGTATTTAGGTGACACGGCTCCCCTTGGACAGCGAGGGGGAGAATGAGAATAGTGGATATTGTTTGTAGGCACCGCGAAGCAGAAGAAGGAAAAGTCACCCAAAAGGTAAGCAGCGACGACGGCTGATACGATTGCGTATCCACTAAACTAGTTACTCCTCACTCACTTTACAATCAATGGCGCTGGAAATGCTCGTACGTGGGTGGCCATAAAATACATGTCGCCTGGGTCTCTTTATCTGGTCATTTTGTGTTTTTACAACTTGCCAAATCCACTACACACCAGTAAAGGAAGCACTAATTGTATCGAGTACTCATGCGTATTCATGCGTATTCATACAGCTGTGCAACGTTCGAATGTGCTCCCATGTGCACTTGATTGATATAAATGAAGATTGATGGCAGTTTTTGTTCTGGGAACTGATACCGTTTACTGTAAGAGTAGATGGCTTGCTTAACATATCCTCACTGTGGTAAAAACAATGACCGAGCGCTTCTCTAGGGGAATTTCTGATTTGTGTCACCCTTCACGGGGTTTCCAGCTTTCTAATGCCATGTAAACCCCTTGCTAGGATGGCAAGACGTGTTATCCGTCTCTTAATATTATGGTACCCATTCCAACAAACAGTGTCTGTTTTCTGTGGAGATATATCTTGGTATGGTGGCAATTCTCTGCTTTAGCCTTGACATCCTTAAGTTCCGCATTTATGCACAAAAACAGATATGAGGCAAGTGTAAGAATCAGTAAATATACGAGTGGTCGTCGAGACATAGCTCTTGTCATTGAAGAAGTAGGATTTTACCCTAAGAAGAACACGGATGCCCCAGCTACAGAAGTAGGTTACTGGTCTGTGTCATGCCATGCGTGGTCCCCTCCTGAAGGCTGACTGGACGTCTCGCTGGTTCATGCAGTGGGGGAGGTTACAGACAGTCTGAGTGAAACATCTCCAGCAGGATTTAGCTCTCATCCTCTACCAGATGTCTGCTGCTGGACATTGTTGTAGGCTACTGTCACTGCCCCCCTCATTGTGTTTCTGTTTACAATGTAGCAGATGTGCATGTTGCTAATGGCAAAGCTTGTTAATTTTTTGTATCCATTTTCCCCATGTAAATATGCACTGTCATTAATTGGTGTGAATCATTGTTTGGGAAGGAAACAGATTAATATGTTTTGTGTTTGCAGTTGTATGCTTAATGGTGCACATGATCTAATTATCTCTATTTAATGACGAGTTATTTCCCCTTTGATTTACACTGAACAAAAATATAAACTCAACACTTTTGTTTTTGCTCCCATTTTTCATGAGATGAACTCAAAGATCTAAAACATTTTCTACATACACAAAATAACCATTTCTCTCAAATATTGTTCACAAATCTGAAAAAATCTGTGATAGTGAGCACTTCTCCTTTGCCGAGATAATCCATCCCACCTCACAGGTGTGGCATATCAAGATGCTGATTAGACAGCATGATTATTGCACAGGTGTGCCTTAGGCTGGCCACAATAAAAGGCCACTCTGAAAGGTGCATTTTGCTTTATTGGGGGGGTCCGAAAACCAGTCAGTATCTGGTGTGAGGGTTAGGGTAATGTTGTGAATCGAGTGGCCCATGGTGGTGGTGGGGTTATGGTATGGGCAGGCGTATGTTATGGACGACGAACACAGGCCACTCGATTCACAACATTACACTAACCCTAACCCTCACACCAGATACTGNATCTGTGATAGTGAGCACTTCTCCTTTGCCGAGATAATCCATCCCACCTCACAGGTGTGGCATATCAAGATGCTGATTAGACAGCATGATTATTGCACAGGTGTGCCTTAGGCTGGCCACAATAAAAGGCCACTCTGAAAGGTGCATTTTGCTTTATTGGGGGGGTCTGGGGGGGTCCGAAAACCAGTCAGTATCTGGTGTGAGGGTTAGGGTAATGTTGTGAATCGAGTGGCCCATGGTGGTGGTGGGGTTATGGTATGGGCAGGCGTATGTTATGGACGACGAACACAGGCCACTCGATTCACAACATTACCCTAACCCTAACCCTATCGCACACCTGTGCAATAATCATGCTGTCTAATCAGCATCTTGATATGCCACACCTGTGAGGTGGGATGGATTATCTCGGCAAAGGAGAAGTGCTCACTATCACAGATTTTTTCAGATTTGTGAACAATATTTGATAGAAATGGTGATTTTGTGTAAATAGAAAATGTTTTAGATCTTTGAGTTCATCTCATGAAAAATGGGAGCAAAAATAAAAGTGTTGCGTTTATATTTTTGTGCAGTGTACATGCAAACATATATGTAAGCACAGATATAGCATGGGGTGTTTTGTTATTATAGTTTTTGAGCCTTTAGTGTTTCACATTGTGTGACACTATGCTTGTGGTTTGAGGAGGAAGCCCACACCGGAAAGGTGACAGCACAGTCAGTGTACTTTTGTGTGATGAGAGCCCCCCCTCTGCCCTACCTTCAGCATTTATTTCCTTGTTCATTGTGTCCCTTCTTTGGCTCTGGTGTTCTGCATGAAATTGTTTGATTTCTGATCATCTTTGGTCAATAGTTAACAGATTTACAATATTTGCTCCCCTAAATTCTTATTGGAGTCATGTGTTTATGAAAACACTCTTCTAGATGTATCCCTCATCGCCAAATCAAAGACGAGTCATCACTTTTTGCTTGGGAGTGGAAGTTTAGTCTTTCAACAACCTATTCCAACAGTAAAGTTTGACTTGGGTGCCAGATGAACTTTTCTGTAGAGAAGCATTCTGGAACTTGAATGTACACTTGAACAATGATCTGACTGCCCCCTCTAATGCCAACCGGATGTGAGCCACGAGTGAGGCAGAGCTATGAGCCGTTATTTAGATTTCATGCCCGTGAATGGGCCTCAGTCAGCTGCCTTATTTTAGTACTCTTTGAGATGGTGAATAAGACTCTTAGTCATTTTTCTACTGTAAATTACCACATATCTCACTGCACGTATTTCTTTGAATGAATGATGTGTTAACCAAATTTGGTTAAGAAAATCTATCAGAGCCAATTTAACGGTAATCTATGGTTCTCTTGTAACCCTCTTCAATCAGCAGCCTTCATTGTATTCTATTGTGGTAATATTAGTTCAGTGGAGAGGCATCAATGGCCTTTTTGTCTGCCTGAATGGCGGCTTTATAGACGTCAAAGACCCAATGCTGAGTGTCACAAAACGCACCAGAGAGGGAAGCCTTCAGCCAACCATAAAGAAGACAGAGAGGCTTCAGGCCTGCCGTGTGACTCATGAAATGTCTCTCCAGAGTGTCAGTGTTATTTTTCAAATTTCTTGGAACTACAGCCATTTCCCTGCTTATTTCTGTCAGGGTCACAAGTTCCTGGGGCCTATCTCGACATACACTGGGCGATAGTCAGGGATACACCCTTGACAGGTTGTCACACTCACATTCACACCTACATGCTATTTCCAGTTAAAAAAACCTGCATGTTTGAGCACTGTGGGAGGAAAACCTCTGACAAAAAGGTGTCAACCCGCCTACTGGATTTGAACCATGACATTGCTCATGGTATTTCTGACCAAGTATCAGTCATACGCTTTACGAAGTTAGAGTAATACTTTTTGAAAACTGCATCACATTAAAAAAATGCAATCCTTAAGGCATAAAGACAATGTTTTTGTTATATCACAAAAAGAAAAAAAGCCCAAATCCTTAATCGTACATAGTCTTGTTTCATATCATGACACATTAGTACAATGTATGAATTGATATGAGTATGTTTGTGTTTGATATAAATAAGGATTATTTCCATAAAGCTGTGTGTAATGATTAGATGAATGATTGATTGATTAGTCAATTAGCAGAAAATATATTTATTATGAAAAAAAGTTAGATAATTAATATTTTTTTTTAAGTAATTCTTAGAAAGAAAAAATACTATACTGTCAAATCAAAAGTTGGAATCCTACTTTGCTCCAAAATCCTCACACTGCACCACCATCTGTTGGTTCATTTGATTCGCTCTGCAGGTTCAGCCTCTGCCAGGAGCAAGATAACATTTAGCACGAGCCGAGTTTGTCTATAAATTTGCCAAATCTATTCCCCACACTCTATCGTTAGTAAAGATGTAGGTCACACTGCTGTTGAGATTGCAGATTGTCACTGAAAAACAGACAACACCACTGAGGAGATGAGTGATGGCTCTCTGGGATAATGGTAGAGATAGTTGTTTGTCTTTTGGCATTTGTATAAAGGCTAAATTGGGCTGACTTGGAATTTCCCCCTCTATTATTGTCACTAGTTTGTGTCTTTTTTCGAGGCCTCTTCAGATTTGTTTTTGCTCCAAGTGCTTAACCTCCTTGCGGCAGAATTACAGTTCCAGGCTGTAAGGCTGCTCCTCTTATGTGTAAAATCCTCCGTTTCAGAGCTTGTAACACACAATTACAACATGAAAACTATGATAACCAAATCACCAGAGGAGTGCGCATCAGTGAACCTAACGTCATTTCTGCTTCACATTTGACTAGAGATCAGTCTCCTTTGGCCCTTGGTTGAAATGTTCTCTTTGGGTGACACATGTTCACCTTTTGAATAATTTAATCAGGTTGGCATTGTAAGAAACTGTGCTGTGGTGCCGTTTTGTAGTACTAATATATACAAACAAGTGTATTGTATGTTGTCGTGAGACTATTGATGGCCTGGGAATTTGCATCATGTACAGTAAAAATGTTGTTTGTATTGCAGAAATATTTGATTCCGTTTGTGATTTGAAAAACGATAGGGAAAAGATGTAATATAAAAAGAACATGCCTGTCAGTGAAAGTCTCCAAAGCTTACTTAAACAATGAGTTATGATTTTTCAACCATGTATTATGTACTGTTCAACTTCATATTCAAATATGACTTATCAAATCATTTTAAAAGCTGTATTTCTAGGTTTGAATGTAATAGATCTAGAGAGTTTTCCTCTGTCTTCACTTATGACATCCCTTTATGAGAATGTGGCTTTCTCAGCAGGGTCCTGTGGGTTTATGTTTATGAAACTGTTCCCTTGACATTCCTGTCCTTCTCATACCAACCCCTGAAAAAGTGCTGCCACTGGGAAACAAGGCCT